ATCTCGCCCCCCCCCCCCCCCCTTCGGATGTCCTCGCCCGACACGGAAACTCACGTAGCGGCGTAGTTCCTATTGTCTCCAATCCGCTCCGAGTTGGAACAATTCCAAGGCGTATGTATGAGCAAACGCCGGTGGTGCGGGAATGGCGCCATACAACTGGCATTGGTGGCCTCCGAATTAGGAAAGAAACCTAGACCACGTTTTGTCTAGCGACTCCAATTGGTAGATACGTCTTTTGGTATACGATGAATATAACTCAGAGGACCTCAGCACAACTTGCTGCCCAGGGTTGCTACCAGTACTAACTGACATCGACACCAGATTCATCATTATGTTGTTCGACTCAACTCTTGACGTCCCCCCTCTGCCATCGAGTGACGTATTCAACTACGTTTTTCACTATGGGCGGCGTCCATATCCCTGGAGCAGAGTCGTCTACCGCGTTGACGGTACAGACGAAACTCTCACCTTGGCGCAACTGGAAGAGAAAAGTCGTCGCTTCGCGAGGGCAATCAAGAAAAAGTACGGCGTACAACCAAATGATGTAGTGTCAATAGTAGCAAAGGATAAGGCGCGTTTTGCACCTCCCAATGATCAGCAACTGGTATCCGACTGACCTAGACATCGTAGATCCAATATCCCATTGCGTTTTTTGGTGCGCTGGCTGCCGGTGCTACTGTTGCTCTAATTCCTCATCAGAAGGATTTGTCTGCTGAAGATGTTGCTGGTCGACTGTCCCAGTCCAAGTCCAAACTCCTGATCACGGACGGCGCTTTATTGCATATCGCCGAGACCGCGTCCGGCCTAGTTGGAGGCGTACCCATTATCACGCTGGATAACGCAGACAACGAGACCGCAAACCTGCAAGATTTGCTGTCACAAGCGCTGCCTAGTGAAAGCACCTTTGAACTAAAGTCTCACAAGGAAGCCGAGGAACACGATGCCTTCATCAACCGCACCAGCGGCTCAACAGGCAACATGAAATCAGTCCTTGTCTCACACAGCCATTACATTGCCACCCTGGAAGCCACTTGGAGAACAGTCCCGGTCAGTACAGATCCCGAGCGCGATGTCTGGCTGACTAGCTCGTCACTGGGTTTCCTGATCAATGCCAAACTCTTCATGTCGCTAAACATCTTGCTGGGCATTCCTGTGGTCATCATGCCCGAGCCGCTAGACGAAGAGTCCATCTCCGTTATCCAGCGCCACCAAATTACCTTCATTCTCGTCTTCCCGCCACTGGTGGCCAAACTGGCCAAATCGAACCTCAATCCAAAAGAAGTCGAGAGCATCAAATGGCTCCTTTCCGCAGGCGCAACCATACCAGAGAATCTACGACAAGCACTGGCGACTCGGTTTCCAAAAGTAGACCTCACTCTGGAATGGGGCACGAGCGAGACTATGCTCATTGCCATTCAGACCAGCGATCCTGTGACTCGCAAGGCAGGCTCCAGTGGTATTCTCGTAAACGGAATACAGGCTCGTGTTATCTCCACCGAGACGGGCAAGGAGCTAGGAGCAAGTGAACGGGGCGAACTACTGGTCAGGAACTCACTTGCTCGGTTCCGTGGCTACAAGGACAACGATGAGGCAAATCGTGAGTTTGACCAAGACGGCTTCTTTCATACCGGTGACTACGGATACATTGACGAAGAACGCAATGTCTACATTATTGATCGTTTGAAGGAATTGCTACGTGTGGGAGATGGTTACGGCAGTCGCATTAGCGCCTCTGAGCTTGAAAACGCAGTGTTTGAGCATCCTGCGGTTAGTACCGCCGTGGTGGTTGGCATATGGGACGAGAATACGGCAACGCAACATCCAACGGCTTTTGTCGTTCCCCTGAAGAATTATCAGGACCGTGTGGGACGTGCTCTTGCGGAGGATATCGAAGCATTCATCTCGACCAAACTTACGGGGCTGAGAAGGTTGAGTGGCGGCGTGTATTTCATCGACTCGTATCCTACCACTGGATTCAAGATCAATCGGCGCGCACTCAAGGCCTTGCCCAGGGATGAGGTGAGCAGAGTTGTTGGACAGAGCTTTCATGTTTTTCAACCTGCATTGCACCCTCAGGAACACGCTCATCATGGTCTTTTGACTACCGTTTAAGCGAAAGCCGAAGGAGCCATTGAGCAAAAACAGGGGGAATTTTTGTTTTTGCAGATAGCTTAGCGCAATTTCTGAAATTTATTTCATGAAACTAGCTGTGTGTACCTCAATCCCATGCCGGAAACAATTCTATTCCAAGATTGCATGACAACTCCAAGTGGCACGTAGGGATCCTGTGTTTTACTCTATGCCAAACCGCACAAGGCACAAAAACATACCAGTCATGTTTTATTTTTCCTGTCAAGGCCATCTTGGTTCAACATGGCTTCCTGGGGCGAGGGATCTTCAGTGGTTGACTGCACTAGACTTTGAGACCCGACGGACATCTGGACCTCTCAGCCCGGGGTTCGGAGGACTTTGGCAACCAGGGTGGTAAACCGCGGAGAATAGTGAATACACCACCGCATCACGCTAAAAGCCACCAAGATGAGGTCACTGGCCAACCAGACGGTTATCAAGCAGAGTCACATTCGACATTCAGTTAGTACATGTAAGCCCGGGGCTCCGGCGTGATTAACCTGCCGGGCTGATGTACAAACGAAATCGGTACCAGTCACCATGTCAGACTCTCACGACGTCAAAGACCAAAAGTACACACCAATGAAATCTCTGAGCCTGGGGACAAACGCTAATTTTAGGTTTAGGGTTATTTCGGAATCAGTGGATGAGGCCCAGTCGCTTACAGCGGATGGCCTTGAACCAACCGCTTACGAGAAACGAACACTGCGCAGAGAGCCAGAGGGTCTTCCCCTATCCTGTTACATTGTTGCTCTGGTCGAGTTGTGCGAGAGGTTTGCTTACTATGGCTGCAAGGCTCTGTTTCAGAACTATCTCTCCACTGCAGATGGGCTACACATGAGCCGCAAAGCTGCAACTGCATTAAATGTCTTCTTCACGTTCTTCTCATACTCTTAAGTGTGAAATTCATTTTGCACGGTAATCCATCACTTACCGTTGGGCTGTAGTAACTCCCATCCTTGGTGCCGTCATTGCAGACCACCATCTTGGCAGATATCGGACGATTGTCTTGTTCTCTGTATTCTATGCCATTGGCCTCTTGGTGCTTTGGACAACGGCACTGCCCACGTCCATCAGCCACGACGGAAAACTCGCCGGCTTCATCATAGCCATTGTGACAATTGCCTTGGGCACAGGCGGCATCAAGTGCAATGTTGCGCCTCTCATCGCAGACCAATATTCTCGCAAGTCCATGGCCATCAAAACAAAAGCCAAGACTGGGGAAAGAGTCATAATTGACCCTGCTTTGGCCTATCATCAGATTTACATTGTCTACTATGCCTGCATTGAACTGGGGTCGCTCTCCGGTCTAGCCACTCCGTTTATGGAGAAGCATATTGGGTTTTGGGCGCCGTTCCTTTTAACCTTTTGTGCATTTTGCTGTTTGTGCTCGGCCCAGTTGCTCCCGTGGTTCGAATCGCCGCCAATACTAACCAATCTGCAGTGGCCCTGGGGATTCTGATCCTGGGACAAAAGACCTATGTTACCCAACGCGCAGAGGGTGGTGTGATCACCAAGGCGTTCAATGTAGCCGCCTTGATGACTTTCTACCGGGCAACGGATGCGCCTAAACCCTCCTGGAGGGCAGCCCGTGGCATGTCCCCAGTTTCCTGGGACGACAGTTTTGTTGACGACATCAAAAAGACGCTAAATGCTTGTAAAGTGTTTGCGTTTTACCCCATCATCTGGGTATGCTTCTCCCAGCTGTCGTCCAATCTGGTCTCCCAAGCAGGTCAGATGGAGACACATGGCGTACCCAACGACTTCATGCAAAGTCTTGAACAAATTGCCGTTCTTGTCTTCTTGCCCATCATTGACAGGGTCATCATGCCTCTTCTCAGACGCAGAGGCATCATCCTCCGACCAATCACCCGCATCGCCATAGGGTTTTTCGCCATCGGCCTCGGAATGGCGTATGCTGCCATCGTACAGAAAATCATCTACAACGCACCGCCATGCTATGACCACCCTCTTGCATGTCCAGCCGCAAAAGTTGGCGGAAAATTCCTGCCGAATAAGGTGCACGTTGCTATTCAGACGCCCTTGTACGTTTGTTTCGGCATTGCATCCATCTTTTTGAACGTGGCGGGCCCAGAGTACGCATATACACAGGCTCCTCCCAACTTGAAGAGCTTTATTCAGAGTTTGTACTTGCTGACTGTTGCGTCTGGGAGCGCGTTGGCCATGGCGCTCGTTCCGGTTTCAGTTGATCCTGATGTGCTCTGGATGTTTGTGGGTGTGGCTGTCACGACATTTGTTGTTTTGGCGAGCATGTACTTTACGTTGAGGCATCTTGATAAGCTGGAGGAATAGTTACACTTGAAACGCGGACAAACTAAATCTGGCGACTCTCATACTTTGACCCGTACTCGTGCGTACGTGAAGGACAAGAAGCCAGTTCTATGTTGAGGATGTGCTTCCGGGGTAGAGAGCAAGAACTCCATGCATTAGCATCCTTCTATTCCGGAACGTCACTATTCGGGCCCAGCAGATACTACGACTAAGAAAAATAAGATTTATTTTGGAAATGGGTGGGCGGCGTGCCATGACTACCTAATCAAGAGCCTGTTGAGTTATTCCTTCCGCCGAGGTAGGTTGGACGGAGGCGTTTTGGAAGAAATTGAAGTATTTCAAGAGGATGGAAAGAGAAGTGGTAATTCGTAAACTCATAGTTTATCATGCTCTGCTTGTAAGTTGGGAGAGGAAAACGCTTGTATGTACAGGCCTCTTGTGTTGACTGCCTCAGCCTCCAGAATGACCAGACATTTATACACGACACAGTCACAGCACAGGATAAACCTGTGTTGTTGGTCTGCTGTTACCAGAAAGCTCTGCAAAATGCAAAAGCCGAGGCCACGAACCCTACACACTCACCCAAGTATCCGCTAGTTTGTTGGATGGAAATGCATGTTGCATTTTGCACTCGTTCTGCGCCTGATTGGCCGCGTTTGCAGCAAGCCCAACCGCCTTATCTCGCCCCGGAGAAAGAACCATCCGTGTACGGCTGTACCACTATTTTCTTCGTCTCGCACTCTCATTCTGTCAAGTACCGAGTAAATCAGTGCCTCCATCACACTCAAAAGTCAACCTAGAAAGCGTCGAACGGTACCCGGTCAAGGCAATCATGGTCAAGGACTGGAATTCGATATGTGAATCGCTACGCCAGCTCTATCATCCTGACAACAAGCCACTCCATGAGGTGATGCGACTGGTCAAGAGCACCGTATGCCGGCCGAGTATGAACCCTCTACTCCATGCCATAGACGAATTTCTCTAACCCGGCCTTTATTAGCTAAAGAGCATATCGTTCCCAGCTACTCAAATGGGGCTACATCAAGTACAGCACTATGAAGTTTCCAAATCCTACGCGCAAAGTTCCGCCGGTGAGACGATCGGATGACACCCCATTTACTACCAGTTGACGTCTTTCTCAGTGGTCTAACGATACACCGGCAATTCCTAATTATTGATGTCCTACTTGAGCATAACTGTGGTCACAACATAGAGAATGGCAGTGGAAAAACACCGTTTTCACACCTCTCAGATTAGTCTGTGTACTACTCAGACGCAAAGAGCCTCCTTGGACGTCTTTCTCGGATGCTTCACAAGGGAGCGGACGTGATGCACTCAGGCACAGTCGGAAGATTGCCTTTCCAAGTCTCCTTCTCGATTGCGGGGACCAAGTTTTATTCTCAAAGATAATTCAAGTTCCAAGACGAGGTGATTGAAGCCTTGAAATCCCTGCCCCAGATGGGGGCATCCAGCTTCACACAGATGCCGGATGGAAGACCACTAGCCACCAGACATGTTGTTCCCAAGGCCTGTCGAGATACTCCACCTGCTACCAGACACCTTCGCAAACAAAATGGCCGGGACACTACATAGGTATGCATCCTGGCGAGACCTGACAAGGTGGTGAATAGAACCTTCTCTACTCCATGAGCTCTCGGCGGCACATGCACGAGGTAAATTGCCCCTTGAGCTGGCACATATCCATCTCCAAAACGGAGCGAACATCACCCAAATTCCAAAAATCGAGACTTCAGCCCTACCCGTGGCTCCCGCCGCCCCAGCCGGACGTCCCGATGCGCCGATATCCCGTCCGCCACCTGGCAATCTCCCTCGCTCATGACAGACCAGATTGACATGGCGGTCAGAAAATAACCACAGACGAGTCTGGTCGCACTAATCGCAAGCACGCCCCGAAACCATGCTCACACACGTGAAAGCCTCAACCACGACAAGTCCGTCACACATTCCCTCGGGCAATTCCATCCAAACACCGGCTCGGCATCCGTCCAGGCAATAGCGCAGCCGCCCATCAAAACCGGGAATTTCACACCGTAGTCCGCAATTCCAACTAACAAGTACAAAGGCATAGTCCCAGTGCCATCTTCCGTCAGGTACGCAGGGTCCTCCACCCCGTCGCAATAAATACCATCCACGATAGCCGCACATGGTCCTCCTCCGTCCTCATCCCAAGACCACTCCACGAGTCCAAAATGACAGCCCTCCTCCCCCTCGACCTGTCCAGAAACCTCTCCCTCTTCACGGTCCATCTCCCCCCGCTCCCGTAGAAGCATTCCCAAGCTAACAAGCCCAGGTCCCCGCGGCGCTTGGCCTCGCCCTCATCCCGCACCTGTACGCCGTAGGCTCAGCCGGCTTCAACATATACGACAACTCGTACCCGCGCGCCTACCGCGACACGTTGATCAAGGACACGTCCATTGACAAAGTAGTACGTTGCTGTCACAGACCCCCGCGCAAGCCCGCCGACTGACACACCCTGCCAGCGCAAGCAGCGCATCCTCCGCGCAGAGGCGTGCTCCCTCAACGGCCTCGAGACCATTGGCTTGTATGCCGCGTCGGTCATTGTAGGCAACTATGCCCAGCTCGGTACTTCTACCCTAAACAGCCTTCCTATCGGGTATTTGGCGTCTCGGTTCGCGTATACCCTTTCCTACGTCTTCATCCAGAACCGGAGATTGTCGTGGTTGAGGACGGCCATCTGGCAGGTTACGGCTGCGTACATTGTCATGTTTTGGGTCAAGGCGGGATATAAGCTGCTATAGGAGCCTGCCAAGGGAACAAAGACTGGACGCTTTCCCAGGACTACAATCACGAATGGCGCGGGTGCCCATGTGCAGACGGTAAAATGTAACAACACAGACGAAGACACTTCACGTAGCCTCGGCTAGTGCACGAGTGAAATTCAGCTCCATTCATTGCTTCTCATTGACCAGATGAGGAATTGAACAAAGATAATAATATTGATTCGTCGTGTCATCCCTGGTTCTGCAGCACTTCAGATATCCATATCCACCCCTGAAAATATGTACTTGCATTGTTTTACACTTAATCATAATTCTTTCCTTTCTTTTTCCTCTCTTCAGTTGAGATCGGCGCTCAGAGGAAGGTTGCGTGAGCTGCTACCGACAAACACCTTCTTGGGGGCCTTGGTGATGACCCAGTTCTGAGATGCAGTATCCCAGTTGCTAATCTCACGGCGAGTGATGTCGTGGCGGAATGTAACACTCTTCCCAGGAGCAATGCCCTCGATGCGGTCGAAGCCGCGAAGAACGCGGACGGGCTCGTTCTCGCCGCCAAGGCTGATGTATAACTGGGGAATTTCGTCACTCACGCGCTTGCCAGTGTTGGTGATTGTGGCAGAGACGGTGTACATGACATCCCATAGCTGGCGATTGCCACCAGGTTCGCCAGAAGACGCAAGCCTAGGCTGCGGCGAACCATCCGTAGCGCCAGGAGGTAAGAATTGCTCCGCAGTCTGGCCGTAGTGACCGTCACCAGAGGCTTCCTTGCCTGAGGTCGTCGTGTTGAGCCAGGGATAAATAAACTGATAAATATAGCGAATAGAAGGAGGGAAAGCGTAATCCTTCAGGTTAGTGCTGAAATTGCCAAAGGTGGGAGCAGCTATCGTTTTGCCCTGGGGAGGGGACATGGGGCGGACATCACGCTTCTCAACCTTGAGGTTCGAGTACTCAAAAGTGGACCATGATAAACCGTAGCCGAATTCATAAATAGGAGCACCGGTGCTGTTCTTGCCAGGCGCCACCTTGTCAAAGTGGCGATAGTCAATGAAAGAACCCTCAGTAAAGTCTTGCTGAGGGGCGTTGTTGCCATTATCAGGCTTGTAGAGAACGTCGGTGCCATAGCTTTCAAGAGTAGGGCCCCAAGTGAAAGGGGAGCGTCCAGGGCTGGTCTTTCCGTAAAGGATGTCAGTGATGGAGTTGCCAGATTCCTGCCCTGGAATACCGGCCCAAACAATAGCAGAAATGTTGGGGTTCTGGTACCAGTCCGTGACGAGGACAGGTCCAACACTATGAATGACAACAATGGTGTTGTGGCAAATGGACGAGACGTTCTTGATCAGATCATCACCGTTCTTCCAGAGTGTGAGGTTCTTGCGATCACCGGCGTTGCCGTCAACCTCAAGATAGCCCTCGCCGCTATCGGCGTTGACAAAAACGACTGCAGTGACATTAGGCTGAGCAACAACCCTCTGAGTAGCCGCCCACTGGTAGTTGCTAAGAACGCTCTCATATCGGGAGCCGTCCTGGATGGCCTGGCGCTGGAGGGCATTGTCGGGGGTAATAAGGTAAGGGAATTGCGAAGTACCGGAACCCCAGAGCATGGCCAAAGTGCCATCATCACATCCGCGATCATCGCAGCCGTTGGGGCCCCTGGAGTTTTGGCCAGCATCCTCACCAATGACCGCAAGGAACTTGGGCTTATTCAACGGCAATGACCCAGTGTTCTTGAGAATGACGGTTCCCTTGGCAGCAGACTCGCGAATGTGGGCAGCGTGGTTGCCACGGACATCTACTTGGAAGTTGACCTGTTCCCAGTTCTCCTTGGCAGCAGCGTGGCGGTAGCCGAACGTGTTCCGAGTCCATGAGCTGAAGCTGGTAGGGGCCTGCTTGCCGGGCTGCATACCAACCTTGAAGAAAGAAGCCATGATTCGCATGGCCATGTCGTCGATACGATAGGCGGGGACGGTGCCATTGATGACAGCGAGAGTCAAGTTTGCGCCCCAGTAACTACGGCCAGTGTTGAACTCGGTATCACCAGGCATGCTCATATCGAGGCCAGCCACTGCAGTGGCGGCACCCGCATGCTGGGCCTGCCAGTCACTCATGATAAATCCCTGGAAGCCCATTTCGTCCTTGAGAATGCCATTGAGGAGCTTCGAGTTCTGGCACGCGTACGAGTTGTTGATCTGGTTATAGGAGCACATGATGGAACCAACTCCGGCCCTGACGGCATCGGCAAATGGCCAAGCATAATCCTCGTGTAGAGTCTTGTCGTCGACATTGGAAGAAAGGCTCTCGGAGATGTTGAATCCTCGCTCAACAGACTCGCCGGCTTGTCGAAAGTGTTCTGCGAAAGAGTTAGCTCAAGGTGAACCGCAATCCACTCCCCAGACAAGTCAAGCCATCTAGTTCCTTACCTTGCTCATTGGCGATAAAATGTTTGGCGCAAGCAATGACTCCCGCCTCCTGAATACCAATAACAGTATTGGCAAGTCCCTTACCCTGAAGGTAGGGATCGGTGCCGAATCCCTCAGCGTTACGGCCGCCTGTAGGTGTACGACCAAGAGGGCCACTGGCAGGACCAAGAGCGACATCAATACCCTTGTCCCTAGACTCAGAACCCAATGCCTTGCCACGGTCTCTCCAAAGATTCTCCGACCATGTCGCACCAGCAGTAAGCCCAGCAGGGAAAGCGCTATTGTAGTCGGAAAGACGAATACCCAACGGGCCGTCCTGCATACACAGAGCTCGGAGGCCCAATCGCGGAACAGCTCCATTGTTACCGACGCAGTTGTCGCTCATCCATCTACATGAGACGTGTAAGTACAAGTGGTGTCTGTAGTCGACCCGAATGTTTGCCGTGGGCTTCGATACTCACCCGGTACCTGTCGTCAAATTGACCTTCTCAGCCAGAGTCATGCGCGACACAAAGTCCTTGGCCTTCTTGTAGGCGTCTTCCCAGCCCGGAGCCTGTGGGTTCATCCATGGCGACGGATAGTGGGGAGGGGAGGTGGCCAGTTCGGCTCGGGCATCAAGCTGCAACGGGATCTGAGTGTCAGCGAAGGCATAAAAATCGTCAAAAGCTATAGCAATGGATCTGGGCAGAGCGGCTAGAGCCCCGACCATGACAAGAGCCCGCCTCATGTTGGATGGCTCTCCTGCGTTCAGGCGCGAAGGCTCTGTTTTGTCGATCCAAGGTAGGTTTCCCCACCCCCATGGCGCAGCCCACACACACAAGGAATGCATGTAGAACAATAGCCAGGCACCCGTCTCCCATGGTTTGCTCATGTTCAGGCCGGAAGTGGGGATCTTGAATCTGCCGGGTGGCCGAATTGGGGTAAATCTTGGATGATCGATCCATCGGGTGTGCAAAGAGGAGTGTTGAAGGTTGCCGGGCAGAGGCACAAGCAGTCAAAGGAGGAGAAACACAGATTTCGACCACAACTGACCATGGCCGTGTGCTCCAAACGAACGGCAAGCTTACCTTGTGAAGGTACCCAGGTGCTGACGGGCTAGCATCTACCACGGCAGTGAGTAGAGCCGCGGCAAAGATGGACAATGGCTTCATGACGGCGTGGCGATCCTGTAACTGGCGTTGGTCTTGTTCGTTTCTGGCCGATTTTCTCGTCTACAAGGCGACGAGGAACAGAGTCGTGAACTTGAGTTGACAACGCCGACTGGCTCGAAGAAAAACCAACAGCTCAGTCCAGGAGGGTGGGCAACATGGGCCTGATATAAGATTTGATCCTGAGGTCTCAGTTTGTCCGGGCACGTCAACCGTCAAGGTGAAGGACGAGAGGACCGGGGGATGAGCGGTCATGTGGATTTGGATTGTCGTCATGGTGCCAACGTTGGGTGTGAACGGGCCGCGCGAGCTTTGGACGAGACGATCAAGTTACTTCCTTTTGCTGGCTGGTGGAGCATGTTTGCGTTTGTCGTTCTTTCTATTCACGGTCCGCGATGCAATGCGGAATCCAGGTCGAGGAAGCATTGCAAGCCCATGGCGTGGTGGAGCTTCGTGCATGGATTCGAGGCTGCGCGCACCGGCGTGCTGCACTCGTGCCCTCGTACAATACACTCGATGCTAATACCAAGACTAATATTAATCCATTAATACGGAGTATGGATGGAGTACGTTCTTCCAATGTGCCCAAGTTTCCTGTGGACTTGGCGAGGTGGAGCCGTTTGCTGTGGCGTGGTTTGCTCCAGTTTACATGTACGGGGTACATCCTCGGTCCTCCCGTGCATAGCAGCAATTAATGCATGTCTTGGAGAAAACCGAAAACCGGAAACCGGATTGGAGTTACCCGTTGACAACTAAGTGGGCCAGCCACTGGGTAGTTTGACGTGCAGAACATTGAACCAGACCACTTCCACCATCGCAGGGCCCCCGAGCCTCAAGCCTCCTATTGTGCAGCGCCGTGCCAAATAGAGGTCTGCGAATTGCAACCGTGTCCTATTATGCATTATTGGAAGAAACAGGCCGTTGGGAAGACGCAAACATTGGCTCGACACGATTTGACTTTGGACAAGACCCTCACGGACGTGTGGGGCACGAAGGGCACCGGGGACCCTGCGGTCTGGAGGTAACTTTTGTTCCTGAGCCTTCCAGCTTCCAAACACTGAGGGTTCAATGTTTACAGAAACAGGGCAGAACTGAATGGCCGATTGGCGGGGATTGGCGTCGCTTGGCGGCTGCTCGGTTCTGCTAGCCTCACCCGGCACCATTTGGTTTGCCAGTTGAGAGCTTTCAATATTAATGCCCCGGGTGCCTGCAAGCCATAACCGCCATCAAGCCACGGCCGTAGACCGTCTGGTGGCGTTCGGCTGGCTGTGACAATTGTGCGCTTTTATGGAGCCACTGAAGTATTGCTGCGTAAATCTAAAGTTGGGCAGCTATGAACGGCATGGGATAGCTGACACTGGCATTGAGAGCTCATGCCAAGCCTTGCACATTGTAAGTTGGGCAAGAGCTTTCCACTGCATCCTGCCTCTACCTAGGTAGACATCACCGGCCAATC